GTTTCCGTGATCAATCTTCTAACCGGAAATAACAAAATAAAATTGCTTATATTTTGTTCAATTTTGCACAATATAAATATAAGCACCTGTTCTACGTTCTTGCAGTAATAAAAAATCTGGTCTTGGGACCTAGATGAATGCTTCACACCAAGACAGATTGGCTGAATGACCATCAATCATAACATCACTTTGGCTTTGAATTTGAGTTCCAGTTAGTCAGATAACCACTGAGGTTCTGTTAGTGTGAGCTGTTGCTGCAAGAAGCTGGTAGCTGAGGCCGGGGACAGATAGGGAGCCCATAGAAAGGGGAATGTTTGTCTTTGGAAGTAAACCCTTTTCCAGAACAGGAGTAAATTTCTTCAAGAATGACAAATTAGATAAACCCATACTGGACAGTCATAATGCCTTATGGGTTAAATACAGATGCATGAACATGGCTATGAAAATTCTTCCATTAATACCTAGTTCTTTTATACACACATACAAAAGATCCTGCCTATACTGTAACTTACATAAAATAAAGAACAATACAAAATTAAAATACGATTGGACCATAACAATTAGGGCAATTACGTACATATGGTTAATTGCAACAGAACAACAAAAAATGGCTAGACCAATCAAATATAAAACGTCTATGTATAACACAGTCCGTCAATAATGTAATAAATTCTTCCCATTTATTCCTCCACTTTCACCATTGAACACAACATGTTTCAGCCATAGTTGGCTATCTTCAGGTGTCTTAGTGTATAAAAACTGTTACACTGCTCTGACGTGCGCTAAAATCACGAGTTGTTAATCCACTTAATGTAATATATGTAATCACTTAATGTGATATATTAAGACACCTGAAGATGGTCAACTATGATCGAAACACGTTGTGTTGAATTGTAAAAATTGAGGAATAAAAAGGAACAATTTGTTGCATTATTGACAGACTGTGTTATATATAGACATTTTAATATGGCTTGCAACAGAATGCTTAAATACAGAACAATCAAATACAATTTCACTGAACTTAATGCAATAGCAGTGTAAGTGAGAATGAGGCAAAGGGTGATAAGAGAGATAAATTTATTGCTACCTCCAACTTCACGGCAGAAGGGCAGAGACAGCATGTTTCTTAAAAAACATTGTTAACTGTCTATCACAGTAAAAGATGTCACATTCATTATATTCACCACAGTGAGAATCTCAAAGCCAACGTCTGCTAGTTATTTAATGTGAGTCCTTGCCTACCTCTTTTAAAATATTCCAAGATGGATGACATATGAGGCAGATCAAGGTACTTACAGCATGCCATTTTCAAGTCCTTCAAACTATTTCCCTGCATGGATAGTGCGGTGTTGATATTGCTGGTAATTAAACGTGCAGACGTGGAATGGAATACAGAAACAATGAACAGTGAGAACTGGTGGAACAATGATAGGATTGGAGTGAGGCTGAGTCACTTGGTAATGTAGCCTCAGATAGGCCTAATGAACTAACCTCAGATGATAGAAGGTTATGGAGTCCTGGTGCAATGGTTATATGAGTGATGTGACATGGAGTCCCTTGATACTGCTGCCCCTGATGATAGATGAGTATGAAACAATGGTGAAATGATGGCAGGGTAAAACTGAAGTGCCTGAAGAGAAACCTGCCTAATTGCCACTTTGCCTAGCAGAAATTCTGAAACGACCCAGGATAGAACCTGACTCAGTTTCTGCCATAAATAATATAAATTACAAAAAAAAAAAAAAACTCCGTGGTTTTAGTCTGCAAGCAAACTATACTGACCGAGAGAACGCAGCTTGTCGGCGAAGTTAGTGCCAACTTTAGAGGGTGTCGTGTGGTCAGCGCAATGAATCCCCATGGCCGTTAATTCCGGTTTTCTAGACCTGAGCCACTATTTCCTTCAAATAGCTCCTCAATTACCATCACGAGGCTGAGTACACCCCGTTCCAGACCCCCTACTTCTCAAAAAAATCTTGTAGCGCCGGGAATCGAACCCAGACCTCTGGATCTGCGGCCAGGAACTCTGACCACTAGACCACAGAGGCGGTCAGTATGTAATACACAATCAAGAGACATACTATAGGCACATAAATAACTTTTTACTTTGTAATGAATTTCATAGTTCACATCCAAGTGTATAAGAGGAATCCACAGCAATATATACTTACATCTTGTCAGGAAGTCAGTTATGTCATGTTGGAATGTATTTCCAACATTTCTGAAAGTTTCATTATATCCTTCATGAAGGATACCAAAGTGTTTCCAACATTCTGGAAACTATCACTGCCTCCATCCTCAGAGAATGATCAATATTTCCAACAGTTCAGAAACTGTTGCTGCCTTCATGAAGACACTGAAAGTTTCAGAGGCACTGGAAATTTACCTCTTCTTGATAAAACTTAAACTAAATTTATTAACGATGAAAGATTCACATTTTATTTTCTGCCCAAAAGATGGAGACAGTAAGCTGTTTCTTTGAAATATTCATATTCAGCTATCAGATTGCAGTGTGTCATAACTCAGGTGACCATAATCAGTGAAAATGTTCTTATTAACATTAAAATATATGCACAAAACCCACTTGTTTTCTGTATCACAAATTTACACAAATTGTTTAAAATAACAAAAAATAAATCAAACAGGATTCCAAGTCCTACTGAAAGTAACTTGAATAAATCACAGTTTCAGCAAGAAAATAAAGAACTATCATTTAGTAGAAAACATTTTAAAAATAAATTATCTTTGGTGTCATAGGAGAAGTTATATTCATTGCACGACTCAAAGTTGTGTTCAAAACTGAAACATCTGTACGTAAACGACCATTTCAGAATGTAAACAAAACCTGACAAAACAAACCAAGATAAAAAATGGTAATGTCCATGTTTTTAGGTACTTGTCAAAGGCTACTGACCTTGCAAACAATCATCCAGTGGCATTAATAGAAGTTCTGAGTGAAGATTTCTCAAGCATACACAAGCACTCTGCTCTCAAAAAATACAGAGACGAACAAATCAACAATACCGACTGTAATGAATCAGCAGGCACGTACACTATTTTTCCACACAAATTAACCTAAACGTATGACTTCAATTGTCACTAAACTAAGTACATTGTCAAAGAGTTAGAATTGCCACCTAAGCTAATATTCGAATATGCATTACAATAGAGCTACAATATGCTTTCACTTTGATAAGTATAAACGTCTTCATTTTCCGAATCTCGCATTAATTCCTGCTGTTACTATTTATGACTGTTGAAAGAAATTCACCACCGGAACACTAATACAAATTTTAGCGCCAAGATGTTCGATCATAATTGATGACGTAGTTCCGTGTTCTACTGCGTTCTACTGTTCTACCGCACAGATGGCAGAAGCATATGTCTCTGTTAGTGTCTCACATGCGAAGTGTTGTGTTTTAAATAAATACAGGATGATGGATAATGTCTATAAAAACAGTAATTAAACTTCGACGATTATGAGCCTGAAAATAATTCGCTGTTGTATGATTAACGCCTTCGATGGCTTGTGCAAGGGGGAGAAGGAAATTGAGCATTCATACAATCGTCATCGACGTTTCATTTGCTCGAACGTGGTCCCGAGATGGCAGCACACTACGCGTAACGGACCAGCTAGCTAAAGCACCACGGATTATTAAACTAATAAACATTCAACTCCATGTTGTTAATACCTAACGACGCTAACGACTCCTAGTGAGCACAAATAGGGAGCACTGATTACATAGGGGTAATATATAGAGAGCTCGTTCGAGACAACTAAATAGGCATTTCCTTGGCCATTTTTGTATGTAATTTTTTTCTTTAGTTACATACTTATGGTGCTAAGCCCTTCTTGAGGAGAAGCCAAATCTGCAGCTACTCAGTTTCCCAGAATGTTATGGAACCCGAAGGTTCATTACCGTGTTCACAAGAGCCCTCCAATGGTCCCTATCCTGAGCCAGAGCAATCCAGTCTATACCATCCTAAGATCCATTTTAATATGGTCCACCCATCTACGCCTTGGTCTTGCCAGTGGCTTCTTTCCTTCTGACTTTCCCCCCCAATATCCTATATGCGTTCCTCTCCGCCATTCGCGCTACATGCACTGCCCACCTCATCCTCCTTGACTTGATCGTTCTAATTATACTTGGAAAAGGGTACAAGTTATGAAGCTCCTATATAAAAATGGTCTATGGGGGATTTGAAAAGTAGTACCATACTAATCGCCAACCATCACGAACTACTGATATCTAAGTTCTTGGAGGTTCCCGACATGGGAGTTATTTGGATTAAGTTCGTGCAAATCATTGCGACAGGATTTCAATTATTTTCTTTAGTTGCTTTGTCCTCCTTCTGTTAGAACTAATGACTGCTTAATTTGATAATAACGAAGTAATAAAGTATTGAAATGCATAACATATGTAGTTTACCTTTGGGTAATGGCTGGCCATCGAATGGCAAATCATGTGGTTGAAGCTGTCCACAGCAAGATTTATCGCTAAGTAAGGAAGGTCACAGTCCAACTTCCATGGGTAGCTTGCGCCATTAACTCTTTCTCCATCTTTTATCTTTGCAATATAATTTTGTTGAATTGGTGTATATTGAAACAATTTATTGGCTACAGTCAAAACACTACCTTCTTGCATACTTTGGCATTGTGACAAGCTTAAGAATTACAGTTTTTAAAGGAATCCATATTCTTACCTAATATTATATCATGACAGTAGGTACCTAGGAATGCAGCACTGTCATCTGTTCATTCTATATTCTTACCTAACATTTTATGGTATCCATTATACCATAACTTCTCTTTGGCTGAAATTATATTAGGACAGGTAACTACCAGTGCACAATAATATTTTTTTTTCATTATTTTCTTCTACATTCGACAACTTCTAAATTAATCTTGCTACCATCATGATTTCACCAGGCAACTTCTTTGTTCTATAAAACTCAGTTAAAAAGTTGAAGCTAGGAAATGGTCACAGGAGTATAAAAGATAATGTACATAAAGTTGATGTAATTGTACTCTTCATATAAAGTATACAGCATAACAAGTACATATTATTTACACAAATATATTTTATACAGCCTAAATTTTAACACTGATAAAGAACAAATCAACATATATCACAGCTATGCAAATGAGAGAGAAGAATAGTTTATTTGTGGGAAGTATATATATACACTGTACAACAGCAGGATAATCATACAATTTTTATAGATGAATACAGATACAAAATAGTATGTACAGAATATGAAGCTGTCATTTTCACATGGTTTCACAATTAAAGATGTGATCTTACCATGTAACATACACAGAATACAACCACCACAAATTTAAAACATTTATGGAATCTATTTTATTTAAAACAGTCGAGTTCTATAACCACAATGTGAATTCTACTTCAGTCTGAAAGGGAGAGGAAAGTGTGTTAGAGTATGAAACTGACAATGCAATATTTTCTGAACAAAGACATATACCCTTTTAACATCTGCTGGTTCAGTGCACAAACTCTTCAACTAGTCTATTCTCTTTCTTATTTTAATCTTACATTTAAACAGCTGATATTTGAGATGAAAACTGAGGGAGACACTCAGACTGCATGCAACTTATTGTGTAACATTATTTGAAGTTCACACGAATTGCTGTACTTGGCAGTGCACTGACTCTATGGTACAAATCTAAGTTTTGGTGCATACAAGTCACCATGACAGAATTTGGCAAGATTCTTTATAATGAATACTACTTCATCCCCAACATCTCTCTCTGAAGCCTTATCCAATTAAGAGCTTTCTGTGAGAGTGTAGATGACTGCATTAATGATTTTGCTGCTTCTTGAAATGTTTCCTTATTACGGCGATAATACATGGTTGCATCTTGTTCCAACTGACCTATCTTGTTTGGACGAATTTCATCCATTGTCACCATTTCAGTCACATACGGATTGAATCGGAAATATGCACCATCAGGCAGAAGGTCATTAAGCATCGTGTGAACAGCTGCAATCATAATTATATAACAATACAAGTGCAGTTGTATGAAAGCCTAAAAAAATATATAACAGCTGTTGTTGGACTTTGACGTTCCATCACAAAGGCACATTTTAGCAGGAGTACCTTCCTGAAAGTCAAACTGTGAGTCTGACATTCTACCGAGGGGTTCTAGTGTACCTGTGTTATTCAATTGGAAGGAAACACAGAAACATACGAAGAACATACTGAAGAACAAATTCGCACCAAACAACAACAAAGAAAGCATTACTATGACATCTAAGCATTGTAACCATATCTTTTGTATAAACTGTAACACACATTTTCCCAAAACAGAAGCTATAATGACAAGAAGAAGTAAAATGTGAATAGGGATTGAGTAACTGCATAAGAACATAAAGTATATATCTAAAGCAATTATGTTCCAATATTTCTTACATGAGTAAGCAGATTCATTCTTATTAGTCTAGATTTTATTTGAGGATGACCTTTCAAAAACATAGTAAATACAATTTTACATTACGACCTACTACAAATAGAGGCTTTAAAATTTAAAGACTCCCAGTCTGTAGTGTGTGTAAAAATGAAACTAAATGACACATACTAAAGGTCAAGAAATGAACAGGGGATAAAATGTGAAATCATAACATTAGGCATCATCTAAAACACAAGCACAGCAACAAATGGAAATGAAATTAAGGATTCCATGGTATGAACAACAGAAGTCACACATAGATGAGAGCATAAAAAATCAGAACATCAAGTAACTGATCATCAAGAACAAAATAGTGTGAAGTGATTAAGTTAGGAAATATATAAAATGAGAGAAGGAAAAGGGTGGACACAGATACAAGAGAATAGAGCAAATGGAGATGGCTTTATTATAAGGCAACCCACAGTGTTGGAAACATAAAAGACTGAAAATGATTCATATTTCCCCTTGCCATTAGCAACCTAGATGCTCATACCTGCCATCTATTATCACAAGGAGACATTATTACTGAGAGTACAGCATTTTACAGAATTATAAATACTGAAAACGTGAGAAGGATTAGATACTGGATGCCTAAATAACTAGTTTGGTCTCAGCTGTTCACATACGCTAAAAAAAAAGAATGAGAGAGAGAGAGCTCTTGTGCTGGAAGATGAAATCTCAGTGCAAACACTATTTGACACTATTTTAAGCAAAATAATCTTTGCTAGACAGCAACTTACCTTCTGTGTCTGTTGCACTGTCAAGTATTTTGAAAAATTTTGTTTTCCAGGATGAACTATTAACATCTTCACTACATACTGCTGGATTTGTGCGCCCGGTACCAAATGAGACTACACACTGGACTGGACAACCAGGCCATAACTGCTTTGCTTCATGGAGAGCCACAGCTGTTGGATTGTTTACCAAGAGACCACCATCCTGAGATTAAGAAAGTCATTGATTATTCCAAAACAACATGCTTGTATAGAATTTCTATAAACAATGTTTGTGATTTTATTTACTGATTTACAGACTTCTTTTCTTCTTCTTCTTTAACAGTGCCCAGTTTGGCTTAATATGAGTACCACTGGTACATCTACAAAATATTAAACTTCAGGATCCCTTAAGTTACAGATCCATTTGGTAATTTCATATTTTTTTCTCAGATAAATAAATCAGAATAAAATTATGACCTCTAAATATTACCATATGAATTAAAAAAATCATGTAGACTCTTTATTTTGTTTCTTGTATTTTTCTCACATACCTATGAAGCTAACAACTCATGTAACTAACATAAAGGTAAGTCTACTAAGTATATCTCTGGCTTATGTAATTCAAATTAAAAAGTTGAAATCCAGTCTACACATGATGTAGAAGTCAACCATATAACCAACAGATAAAGAAACAATGTAATTAACAAATGTTATAAACAAACAATGTAATTAACAAATGTTATAAAAGTTAGTACTAGTATGCAATTTAGTTGTAATACTTGCAGAATGCAAAAGGGAGTCTTTCTAATGAGGCGTTCTGTTAGCTCAGCTCAAGAGCCATAGCTAATCACTCCCATTTTGTATTTCTTTCCATAACATAACACGATGTTACACTCCCTTTCTCCTGACTTATGAAATGGTACCCTCATGTGCTTCCCTTGGGCAAATCCCTTCCTTCTTGCCTTTCAGAACAGGTAGTTGGCATGTAGTTCCACATGGGTTCTCTGGACACTCTGTCCTTCCCAGGTGTCTGGTGTGACAATATGCAAAATTCTTCTTTAGTTGGGGTGTGTTTTGAGATGTTGTGTATTGTAGTTTTCACATTTCAAGTTTTGGGCTTGTGGTGGTTGGACGCCTTGGAAGCATTGGGCCTTTCTTGCATGGCTGAATCATGGTACTAGTAAGGTTGTATTCTTTCACTTCTTATGTGTGGCAAAGTAAGTTTTTGTATATATAAATTTCTTCTGTGCACAAAGAGAATTGTGTTATGCTATGTTTTCTATTGTTGGACATGGTGCATTCAGCTGTATTCATCTGTGTGTGTGTGTGTGTGTGAATGTGTGAGACAGACAGACATATCTGTGAAACCTGTGTTATGCAAGGTTGACCTGTTTCTTTCTGTTGTGGTATTTATTCTATATTTGGCAGAAATTCCCATGTGCCCTATGGTGATGGGTAGTTCCTACACATGACACAATAAGAGGAGCTACCCATCACCATAGGACGTATGGGTGTATGGGGTGTATAAATGAAGGTATACCCCCAAAACTGAACAGAAGCACAGCAGTTTCATCAGTAATTTTAGAGACACCTGAAGATGACCAATGTTGGTCAAAACGTAGTGTGTACACAGCAGTGATGTAGCTTTTAATGTTCAAAACTTTTAAAGGACTTAAAAAGCAACATGAATATGAGAGAGCTAATAACTAACAGGAATAAATAAGTGATGTGCAACAGAATGCTACTATACAATATTACTCTCTTTCATCGATATACCTGTAGTTTGAGATTCTTGTCACTATGCAAGTAGTTAAGGGGATGATAACTGAGTTGTGTAGCTGACTTGTTCTCTAAGCTTGCATTTTGATACCTCTCCCATCGGGAGAGCATTTGTAAATAACCAACAAGAATCAGACATGGTAAGTGATCCATTTGTTATGTTAGATGAACAAATGGAGCACCATTTTCACATAATTTATTAACAAAACTACAATTGAAGAAAGCAGTCTTCTGGGATTTGGCACCGTGTATATGTGGTGTTAACCGACGTTCCTCCGAAACGTCGGTTAACACCACATATACATGGTGCCAAATCCCACAAGACTGCTTTCTTCATAGTCACCGCCGTGAAAGCCTCAAATCTTACAAAAACTACAATTTATATTAAATTTAAATCCCAACACAAAAAGAGAAAAACAGATGCTGTCAGTAAGACATGCAAATAGTGGATAGATGTGGCATTCAGCACTTTCAGAGGCCAATCTCCTATCACTTGTTTGTGATTTAACCTAGCACATGAAAGTTGGTGCACTGCAACAAATGAACAAACAAACAAACACTTAGGTAATTTTTTTTTATCATTACATTCAATTTCTAAAAACTGCCACTTTCCCAACCCTGCTCATTTCTACTTTGATATTCCTCTAAAATATTGGTGCCCCACACCCTGAACTGCACACTGTCATGACCCACAGGCCTACAGTAAATATGTTTGAAAAACTGTTCTAGTCTACCAGTACTAATTTGGTGAGTCTGATAAATCATGTCCCATATATGATCTTGGTCAAAAACAAGCACATATCAGGCACCATCATGTCAGGTACTGGATAAGGTCCTTCATTATGGGTAATATTTTTAAAGCAAACAGTAATACTCATTCTTTTGTTACACTTACTTGATGTAATAAATCACCTAATCTGTATTCTTCAAAGTATGATGGCGCTGCTGCAGATGCCCTTACAGCCTCCCACAATTTGTGCTTGCAACCTCCCATGTACGGTGACTGAACTTTATATGGCAAAGAATAATTTCGAAATACATAGGCTGTTACTCTTGGCAAGTTTACCACAGTTGAAATCACAGACAACTGAAAAGGAGATAAATTATGATTGTCCCAAATTATGACTACTGATCAAACTGCAGAAAAATTGTATTTCATTGTACCATCTGATTAAAGACTATAAACCTTCTTCACTCCAAGAATACTGATTTATCGCCACATCCAAGAATACTGATTTATCACCATAATCAAATATAGTATTATTTTTAATGAAGAAATCAAAGAACATGAACAGTATTCAATTCACATAACTGAGAATCAAGCAGTTGGTATTACAATTATAACAAAGTATAAACTTGACTTGTACTGACATGGAAACCTCGAAGTAAAGAAATGTCAGCGGTGATTAAAGGAGTGTTGGATAGTTGGTAGCAATAATTACAATTACAGCATTCTGATAAACTGCATTGTAATTAAAGGAGAAATACTGCATAAAGAAAGAAATCGTGTATACAGTAAGAAGATGCAAAGAATGCTGTCTTCTGGGATGTGGCGCTGAGTAGATCTCCTATAAACTGATGTTTTGGATGAACATATCACCTCCATCTTCAGGGTACAAATATCCACGAGCAAGGAACCAGCATGAGCAGGTGACTGCAGACTGAGTGACCAGTTGAAAATACCCAGCCATATGAGAACAGGAAGGGAGGGTGGTAGGCTACATGGGAAATCAATAGAGAGGAGAGGGGAAGGGTCCGTGGAGATGGGCCAGCAGGTAGTAGGTCAGAGACATGTCAGGGTGAAAAGAGACAGGGCTCCCAGGCCAGCAATGACCCAATAGACTCCAGGCTAAGCTGCCAAGCATGCATCAATCTGCATAGCCTTGTATATCTGGCATCATGTTCTAGAGATTTCTAGAGGTTTACACAAGATCTGGACAATGCCACATCCCAGAAGACAGCATTCTTCAGTCACCACCATGAATACCTCAAATCTTACAAATGTATACAGTATTATAATTCCTTAACAAGTATGTTGATCCTCACACCATACCCACACATGCTAACGGATTGCACTAACATGGTATAATGAAAATATCAATTACTTAGTAAATACGTTTAGTAGACCTTTTACTAAAATGAATTGGCAGTATGCCTCCACTTATGAAATTGAAAAAATTATTAAATCATTAAAGAGTAAAAACTCAAGTGGATATGAGGAAATTTCAAACAGAATAACAAAATTAAGTTCACCATTTATAATTTCTCCACTTACTCATATTTCTAATGCAATACTTAATACTGGTATTCTTCCTGATAGATTAAAATCTGCCATAGTTAAACCACTATTTAAAAAAGGGAAAACTCATAATATTGTAACGTGTTTTTTTACTGAAGACGCCGCAGAGATGGTTAATTGGTTTATTTAACAATCTACAAGTAACGGCTACAATTAATTATCACACAGTTGCGGGGTTTCACACTTTATAACCCTAAGCGCATTAGTCTGTTAACACTGTTGCGGGGTTTCATAATTTATAACCCTATGCGCAAATTAGTTCACTCTGTCTTCAGTAGTCTACGCGTTTACAGTAGGGGAGCTATGTATCGCTGTATCACATGCTCCCACTTACACAATCACACACACGTCCGGTTCTTCTTTCCGCGACGGCTGCTATACTCCAACTGTAGTCCGCTGACTGGAGAACTGTTGATAACACACTCTCGTAGGCTTGCTCGGAACTATCTTCGGCGATGGCCACGTTATAACTCGGCGGCTGTCACAGTACAACTGAAGTCGCCGACTGCTACAGTAGAACTC